CTTTTGTGTACAAGCTGAGACTCGATTAGGGAGATTTTACTGTAATCCTTTATCGCATCTGAAATTTCTTTCTATCTTTACTCATTTTATTACGGAGAAAGTAGTACATTGGCCCTTTCTACAAAAATCATGTCTAAATTTTCGTTATAGTCTCAGATAAAGAAGTTAAAAACGAGAGCTTTCGTATTTGTTGTAATTCCAACTAATAACAAAGTTTAAAACAGAAAGTATTTCATTTATTGCCTAGTAGACTAGTAGACCCTCTATCAACCATAAACAATTCAAGTCATTTAGTCCAATTTTAAAAAAGTTATTGTGTTTTAAAAGATGGACGAACACATTTCTGGGCCACCGTATGTTCACATCACTGTACTGCGTCGAGAATAGCTTCTACTATTGTATCAAATTTACTGAAGATAATCATCCGAAAATTCTATTATCGCAGCAGATCTGTCCCGGAATTAATTCCGATAATCGAGAATCTACGGTATTAGCAATTTGTAGACTGTTCTGTGCCCATAACGAGTATTAATGCAGATCGAATTAGAAACAGTCCCCGTTCAGGGGGCAGCGCCTGCAGGCTCGGCTCCGCTCGCGAGATGGCGGCTCGGCTTTAATTTTAATTTAAGACGGACCGGCTCGGCCTCAAATGAAGCGACGTCGTTCCGTCGCGATCGACATCCCGTTTTACATACCGGAGAACTTTTTGCCGCGGCCAGGGCCGGGGCCGGGGCAAAAATTGTCCGGGATCCCGATTAATTTATATCCTTGTCCGTAGGGGGCGCGGGCGGCGGGCGGCGGGCCTGCACGTAGTTGAATAAAACATCGGGCCGGATCCAACGGAGTAACTAAATTTTAAGCAATGGCACGGCGCCGTACCAGCACCAGCATCAGCCGCCCCCACGACCTTTCCGCGAAAGTTCAACGACACTCGGACCGGCGCGGCGCGGCGGCCGGGCTGCGGAACGACGGTTTGCTGCGACTTGTAGCGCCCCGCTGGGAGTCCGGCATAAAAATTGTAAATCGCGGATGTGCCGGTAGCCCGGCACCGGAGGGAATAATCGTGCATTACGATCGACCTCGAAACTTCTCTCCTGCGCGTGAGTTACACGGGAAAGAAGAGATTCCGCCGCGCGTAAAGAGCATCGAAGTTCGAGCTATTGGAAACGGGACGTCTGAAGAGACCATCAGCAGAAGTACGGATGTAAACGCCGGCGAACGCCGCCTCGGTTTCGAAGAAGAAACGGTCGAAGGCTGGTAAAGGAACGCGCGCGAAGGCACCGACGACGTTGACTTCTTCATTAATGGTAATGATCGCGTCCTAAAAGTCTTCGGGAACTCGCGAAAGGAAACATCGCGATTTGTATTCAGGACGCGATATGCCGCGCTGCTACCGTGGAATAGGGGCTCGAGCCAAGCCAGGGCGGTGGGTGGATTCGCGAAATAAACTCGAGCGAGGGGGTGGTAGAACGAGAAGAAAGACATAGAGAGAGAGAGAGAGAGAGAGAGAGAGAGAGAACAGGCTACGCCGTAGACTCCTGCGCTCCAGTTCGACTTCCGACAATAAAAGTGAGCTAAGACCACGCAGACGGCGTCGTTTCGTCGTGTACGTATAGGCGGACGTTCTGGTCTGCCTGCGACCAGCGACCAACACTCGAGGACATCCTTGCTGAGAGTTTATTTGGCGACGCCGCTTGCTACTCGCCGTCTCGTTGCTCCCTATCGCCGAACGAAATCGAGAACGGATGATAATTTTTACGGATATGATAGGGTTTCTTTGGGGGGGGGGGGCGCTCGGAGAATATCAGGAACGCGTTACTACTACCGAGTCGCATCGAAATCGGTCCTGATTGCTGCAGGAAGTAGTTGATATGCTCATTCCCATTCGTTCGACACCATTCGAACCTCTTCTAACGTATCTTACGTAACAAGTACGTTCACAAGTTGCTGCGATTATCGTATTATTTTATAATAACAGCAAGAATGGATTTATTTAAACTTCGCACAGTGTTTATTATAATGTGTTCTTGAGTGGAGAAGTTTATCTAAAAATGTCTCATAGTACGGTTTCTATAATTTTCTAGGTTTTTCTAAGTATCTATAATTACTCTTTTTTTTCATTATTTCCTTCAATGCTGCGGGAATTGTACTGTTCCTCATGTGCACTTTTCGGTGCATCGTAACAGTTTAGGGTAAAATCATAAACAATTTTGTGCACGGAGTTGCGGGGACTCAATTGCATACGGACTGCGTGTAGTATGGGGTGTAGATCATGGGAAATCTTTCACGATCTACTTGGAAAGCGCCACAGCGATGTGATGCAACTATGCACGAGAATAGAACTGGTTCTCACATCTACGGGGTTCTTGAGTGCTGCTACATTTTCGCAGATCTTTCCCGCGACGATGTCGACATTTTTTAGTTTTGGAAGATTTGGAGTTTGTGATTGCAAAGAAAAATAGAAAAGTGCTGCGAACATTTAAACAGTAAATTGAGAATCCCGAGGAGCGAGCACGTGCTCCTGTTGGTTACTTTGGACCGGAATGCCCTCTGGCGAAGATCGAGTTAACCTCGGGGGCATGCGAGCACGTCGTTAGAATTGACGCTTGAAAATATTTAATATGTTTGAATGGAAGACTGGGAAATTACAAGACCGTTCCTCGGGCCCGAAGGGCCGGAACGGTGAAAGAGCGACTGCAACGCGACATCCCGGAACAGCGAAGCCGATGATGGTCCCCTACCATTAACCCTTTCGATACTACGAGCCACTATAGTGGCCCTCCATAAGATGCCATCGAGGTACTACGAGCCACTATAGTGGCCCTCCATAAGATGCCATCGAGGTACTAAGGGCCACTATAG